ACATTTAAAAAAGAGAGGTATAACCTGTGGCTAAAGGACATATAATGAAACCTATTAGAAATTTCTCAGAAGAAGGGTATTCAGGATTTACTTCTTTAATTCCTGGGCTTTTATGTAGTTGACCAATTTAGGAGGGAGAACTTATTAGTGATTTATTTCCAGAGCAGATGAGAAGTTATAAAACTACCTTAGTTTCTGAAATACCATGAATCAAAGAATTCAGTGCATAGCTGCCTTGCCCACCTCTCTCACTTCATTCCCATTACCTCATCATTACTTCTAGTAAGTACTGTTTTACCACACGTATAGCTTTTGTTGCATTTAAGGCTGTGTCCTCATCCCCTATCTTATTAAAGGACTTCACAGTATAATGTTGATTGATTAAAAATTTCATAAGCAGTGGATTCGACATGGCTCTGCAGAAGAGTGAAATAGAATATATAGAATTTCTTATTTAAATGCAGCCCAGGAGGGGTGCCTGGCTGGCTCAGTTGGTGAGCGTCTAACTCTAGATTTCAGTTCAGGTTATGATACCAGAATTGTGGGATCAAGCCCCATGTCAGGCTCCATGCTGAGCATGGAACTTGCTTAAGATTCTCTCCCTCTCCTTCAGCTTCGCCCCTGCTCACATTCTGTCTCATATAATTTTAGATAGATAGATAGATAGATAGATAGATAGATAGATAGATAGGTTTATTTAAATGCAGCCCAGGATAAGTCATTACTGTGTGCTAATCTTTGACCAAAGACACAGACTTTCAAAGTGGGCTTATGTCTGTATCTTTTACCACCAACATTGGCCACTTTATGGGCAGTCATGTGAAAAACTAGGAACAGAATGGAACTTGCGTGGGCATCTTTCTGTACAGATAGTTCTAATAAATTATGGCTATGTCTCCCAAAGAGACTTTTCTATTTGGCACATTTTCTGTAATACCTAAGAAACTAAACAGGCAAGTCTTTTAAATAGCCTTAAAATGATTCCAGTCAAAAGATACTGAGTCCAGATGTTCTGATGTGAAAGAACTTCTGAAAGAGACTGTCTGTTTTCTGAGTCCTCATAATATATTGATCATAACACATAGCAATGCTTTTTTTTTTTTTTTTTTTAGTTTATATCTAAATTAGTTAGCATATAGTGCAACAATGATTTCAGGAGTAGATTCCTTAATTCCCCTTACCAGTTAAGCCCATAACCCCTCCAGTAACCCTCTTTCCAGCTGAGGTGGCACTTCAGAATCATTTGCGGAACTGTGCTTACATTTGCTACCAAAAGTTCTGGTTTAGTAGTTTTGAAGTGATGTCACTGCATCTGTTTTTAAAAATTTTGGTGCTGTTTCTAATAGACACACTTCTGGTTGACTACCACTCCCAACTTACTTTGTAATTTGAACCACACATATTCTGTATAACCTGGAGCCACGCTTTCATTCATATAGGTTCTGTGGCTTTACAAAGAGAAACCTGGAAGGTAGCTAGAAGGAAACCCTAGCTATTGTCAGAATTTTAGTTTTAAGAGGAAACTAGTCCAAACCTCTCCTCTTTACAGATGAAAAAGCAGAGACATGAAGGAATTTTCAGGGTTGGTAGCAGAACCAAATACTAGATCGAAGACTGATTTGAGCCTTTTCTCCAGTAGCATCTTGGATTAGTCCCGTCTTTGAGAAAACTTCAAAGCTACTTAATAATCTAAAATTGTCCTGAGCATTCAAAGCCTGCCCCAAGATATGGTGAGGTCTCAGGGTATTTCATACAAGGAGCAATAATGCAGCCAACAGGAATGCCTCACATCTTTGTAGGAGTAGGAGTAAATTCCTTATGGGTGGAGTTATGAGTGATAGAACTCATAGGTAGAAATTACAGACATCACCCAGAATGCTTTTGTGACTTCTTTGTAAACATGGAAATTTCTGACAAGAGATGCTTGGATTTATTACTAAAGATTGTCAAGAACAAGATGATCATTTGTCTCATTTAAACTGATCTTTAGGGCGCCTGGGTGGCGCAGTCGGTTAAGCGTCCGACTTCAGCCAGGTTACGATCTCGCGGTCCGTGAGTTCGAGCCCCGCGTCGGGCTCTGGGCTGATGGCTCAGAGCCTGGAGCCTGTTTCCGATTCTGTGTCTCCCTCTCTCTCTACCCCTCCCCCGTTCATGCTCTGTCTCTCTCTGTCCCAAAAAATAAATAAACGTTGAAAAAAAAATTAAAAAAAATAAAAAATAAAAAAAAATAAACTGATCTTTAAGTATCAGAAGCAAGCCTAGGGAATTATGTCAGTATTATATATCTAAGCAGACCTTACTTTTAGTCTACTTATACTTCAGAAGGAGGATTTTGTGCCCAGATTTGCAATTTATCCAACTAAAAGAATAATATGTTTATTAATTACGATTAGATTTGACCATGAAAAAAGGTCCAAATAACAGTTTACTGAAGATAGAGATTGATTTTTCTTTTGGATTAAAAAAGGGCAGGGAAGTCCAACATTGGTTACTTCACAGCCATTAGGGACTCACGTTTTTTGTTTTTTTTTTTTCTTTTTTGTTCCACTCATTCTTGCCACTGTCTGATATCCACAAGGTGTCTGATGGTTCTAGATGGCTTCTGGAGCCTAAGCCATCATCAAAGCGGGGCATACCTCCAACTTGAGTCAGCTCCCATGGAAGAGCTTTTCTAGAACTACCTCATCCAACAATTTCTGATTCTGTCTCACTAGTCATAGTTGTTATCAAAGGAAGCTAGAAAGTTACAACCAGGCAGGTGGCTATTTGCAGTAATTAGAAGTTTTGTTATGAAGAAGAAGAGAATGGATACTAGACAGGTAACTAACAGATCTGCCACAGCTGTTTTGAAGAATGTACTACTTTTTTAAAAAAGAATATAATATTTATATTAGGAAAATCAAATTTTAGTGACGTCAGAAACTATTATATAGCATTTAAATTTGAAAGATCCCCAAACTACCATCTACCATATGTCTGATTAGTAAAAGCAGTAATTCTCTACGATGGTGTTCTGCTTTGGATTTTTCAGCAGGACTCATTAGGAACAGCTGTTAGGTTTTGTATATTTTAAAGAAAGTGAAGAATGAGTTCAGAACAACAGGGAGATAAAAGACACTTTAAATTAAATCTGATTTCTTTTGGAGATAGAATCAAAACAACCACAAGGACAATTCAGTGGATATTTATGGAGCTGACAGGAGCAGAGTATGCTGTATTAGGTGATACAAGCTGGGGATGAGCATCCTAAAACACTCAAGTTTCTTAGTACCTGGAGGAACAAGGTAGACTCCAGTAGCACATGAAACAGTTAAACACATATCATAGCAACAGAAACACACCAACTCCAGATAGACAAGATTTATCCTGGGGACAAGGATGGGCATCTTGGGTTAAAGCTTTAAATAGTAGATATTGTCTTAGTCTATTTGGGCTGCTGTAACAAAATGCCAGTAGACTGAGTGGCTTATAAACTCAGAAATTTATTTCTCACAGTTCCAGAGACTAGAAGTCCAAGATCAGGTTGCCATCATGGTCAGGTTTTGGCGGAGACCCTCTTCAGACTTTGTGCTGTGTCCTCACATGGTGGAAGGGGCTAGGGAACTCTCTACAATCTCTTTTACAAGGGCACTAATCTCATTCATAAGAGTTCTGCCCTCATGATCTAATCACTTCCCAAAGGCCCACCTCTTAAAACCATCACATTGGGCATTAGGTTTTCAACATATGAATTTAAGGATGATGAGGAGACACAAACATTCAGATTATAGCAGGTAAAATCACCTCTGCTTATCTCTTATCTATACATATAAAAAGAATGAGGAGAAGGAGAGATTTTGTTGTCTAAAGAACTTGTAGGGGCGCTTGGGTGGCCCAGTCGGTTAAGCGTCCGACTCTTGATCTCAGCTTAGGTCATGATCTCACACTTTGTGAGTTCGAGCCCCGCATCGGGGTGGCATGGAGTCTGCTTGGGATTCTGTCTCTCCTTCTTTCTGCCCCTTCCTTGCTTCTGCTCTCTCTTTCAAAATAAATAAATAAACTTAAAAAAAAAAAAAAAAGAACTTGTAGGCAGAAGCAAGTAGTAATCTGTAGCATATATAGCTGCAGAACATGGTATACATAAATGTGTGAGATGGAAGTGTTTCTGCTCTATGAGACCAGATTTTTTAAAAATGTTCTGTAGTCTCATTCATATCCACTGTTCACATGGTGCCATTTAACACATGTTTACTGAATGCCTCATATTTACAATACGCTCTAAGGGAGAAATTCATTCACAAGTTGACACTTAGGTGAGAAAGTGTCTAGATTTTAGCATCTTAGAGCTATGAATTTCAAATCTAGGGAAAGCCCAGCCTTGTCGTTTATTTTTCCTTTTCCTTTCAGAATTACTTACCAGTAAACAAATGCTGTCTGTTGACTTTGCCCCAGCTGATAGAAAACAGGAAACTACAGAGACTCCCTGTGAGAAGAGAGCCAGGCTGTACCCTCTGTGACCTCAACCTTTCAGTCTGAGTTCTCCTTGGAGCAGCAGTTGCAAACAGCTCCACGTGACTTTTGGCAGTTAGCATAGGGAGCGCAGATGAAAACAGCTAATGCAACAAGGCCCGTTAGGCTGGCCTGTGAGCTCAGTGAACTGTCTTTTAACCTTCTGTGCTACTGTACTTTTGGGCCTCCTTGGGGAAGAATAGTTTATGCTCTGATCCAGTAATGGATCAGGGACCGTTCGCTGTCTTCCGTAGCAGTGGGAATACCTTTGTCACTCTGGTATTAAATAGCTGCTTGTTTGAGGCTATTAGGTGATGACTCACCTTTCCTACGTGTTACTAGTTCGCTTTGAAGCTGCTGTGCTCAGTTTAGGTTCTCCAGGAGTGACTATGAGAGAAAATGGTAATCTCACAAATTGTACTTTCTTTGTATCTACCCAGTGCTGATGCAGCTATCTCACATTTTGGGTTTTGTGTCCCCCACTCTACACCCTATTTCTCCTCTGCTTGCAGGTGAAGGTCTTCCACAGGTGTATTACTTTGGACCGTGTGGAAAATACAACGCCATGGTGCTGGAGCTCCTTGGCCCTAGCTTGGAGGACTTGTTTGACCTCTGTGACCGAACTTTTACTTTGAAGACTGTGTTAATGATAGCCATCCAGTTGGTAAGTTGGCATTGCTGTTCTGCAAAAGGATAGATGGGTCCCCCAGCTGCATTCCTGTGTCCCCTTTAGGGCTCTCCCAGATGTCGTGACACATATTGAGTGCACACTCAGAGGTTTGATGGCATTCTAGGAAGCAAGCTGGGCCAAAAGGGTTAACCTAGAGAAGACATACTGCATCTTCTGTTCGCTCTATTTTAAGAATTTGCACCTTGGAGCAACACCCTGCCCTCAACTGAAGTGGAAGCATATAATTTAGTTTGGGGATAAAGAGGATGAGTAGGTGAAATTGTACAAATGCAAGTAATTTCCTTGATGTTTTATTTATAGGTTTTAAACATATGGCTGTAAAGTTTTGTCCTCTCCCCTCACCCTTGCAGCCAGGAAGGGATTGGCCACGTAACCCACTGCCCTAACAATCAGATTCCAAAATCGTGTGACCAAGAACCTGCCTTAGCTCTCTGGCCTCCGGTTCTTACAGAGACTGGCAGAGCTGAAGAGATAGCTCCCTCAGCTCCAGCCAAATTACACAGCAGTGCCAGTTCAAGAAGCAGTTAAGACAGTTCCCTTGAGAAGTCTGTCAGCCTCTCAGAGGAAGGATGCTCATGCATCTTTTATTGGTCTCAAATGGTGGTGGTCTCGCCCACTTTACAGTAAAAGCTTGGAAATGTTAGAAAATTGACCTTGGCTTTTGAGTCCAAACTTAAGATGCCTCGGCTTCCCTTTGTATGCTGTAGATAGAAATAAAACAATGAAATTTGAAATAATTTTATGGTTATTATTTGGGGCTATATTTAATTTCACATAAAAACTGCTCTTCTACCTCTGCTGCTGATTAGCTCTGTAAAATCAATGCAATCTTTACTTCTCTGGACCTCACTTCCCATGTTTTTGCAGCAGAAAGTACTAGGTTGGGGAGGCCTGCCTGACTGAAGATACAAAGGTGTGGGCAGAAGGTGAATGTGACAGTGGCACCTGTCTTCAGAGGTTGCCGACATATTTTGATAATCCTGGCTGGGGATACTTCGAGCCTCTCAAATGTATGCTTTCTGATGTAGCATAAAAACACCTAATTCTATTCATCATTTACAAATTGTAACATTATGAGCTGAACTGGCTGTCTCACTTTCATTTAACTTGATACTTGTTATGTATGTATTTGTATCCGAATTTTTTCTGGTTTACAAGCGTGAAGTGACTGGGTGGTGAAGAAGAAATGAGTTTTACTTTCATTTCAGTAGTTAAAACCTTTGGGCTCATAAAAGAAAATGTTTGGATGTTTGTTTGGTTTTTTCCCAGTAAACTTCTTTAGAGTATTTTCATCATTGTGTATTCTCTTTTAGCTTTCTCGAATGGAATATGTGCACTCAAAGAATCTCATTTACCGAGATGTGAAGCCAGAGAATTTCCTGATTGGCCGACAAGGCAACAAGAAAGAGCATGTTATACACATTATAGACTTTGGACTGGCCAAGGAATACATTGACCCTGAAACCAAAAAACACATACCTTATAGGGAGCACAAAAGTTTAACTGGAACTGCAAGATACATGTCTATCAACACGCATCTTGGCAAAGGTGTGTTTATTTTCTGCTCAGTGAAAAGGGGCGGGTCCTTAAAATAACTTTTTATTCCAATAATACTTTTGTCCCCTTTGTGCATTACAACTTGTGGTTCTTCTTGCTTCACAAGGCAAGTGATTTTTATACTTGAGAAACTAAGATGGTGAGTTAGTAACTTTCCTAGGTATCCTGTTGACAACTTAAAGATTTTTCTTTAAGTAAAATTCTTTACTTTTTTAATGTTTATTTATTTTGAGACAGAGCAAGCGAGAGAGCATGCACAAGCAGGGGAGGGGCAGAGAGAGAGGGAGGGAGAGAGAATCCTAAGCAGGATCCATGCTGTGTGCACAGGGCCCTATGCAGGGTTCAGTCTCATAACCATAAGATCATGACCTGAGCTGAAACCAAGAGATAGGAGCTTAACCAACTGAGCTACTCAGATACCCCTATTTAATTCTTTATACTATGTTTCCAAATGCTTAGTTTTTTAGCAGTGTGAGCACTTGAATTGTTGTATTAAAATGATAGCATTTGAGTAAGTCTGATGATGAATTTGGTGTTTACATATGAATGAATGACTCCATGTATGACAGTCCTGAAAAGGACATCAGATTGGTTGGTATCTGAACTGGGGAAGAGTGTGTTACTAAAACATGTGCTAGGCTTCTGTTCACTGTGCATAATTCCATGAATAATTCTTTGAGGAAGAGCCTATGTCTTACTCAATGAAAATAGAGGAGTTGTACACTGTATTCAGGATAGGCAATTTGTGAAAGCTCAATCAAGGCAGAAGGCCTTACTTGTTAGAGGAACTAGTTCAGGGGAGAATATGTGTAAGAGAAGCCTAAGGAACAGTGGGAAAGCCAAATAAGCCGTGGGCCCCTCACTAGCTTCTCCAGAAAAGCTTCCGTTTTTATCTATTTTATATATTGGGCTTCTGTGGAAGATTCTATATGAAGAAAACATTCTAAAGTGATTGTAAAACTATGTTTGAAATTCATCACTCTTGGGGCGCCTGGGTGGCTCAGCTGGTTACATCTGACTTCATCTCAGGTAATGATCTCACAGTTCATGAGTTCAAGCCTTGCATCAGGCTCCATGCTGACACCTTGGAGCCTGCCTCACATTCTGTGTCTCCCTCTCTCTCTTCCTCTCTTTCTCTTTCTCTCTCTCAAAAATAAATATTTTTTTAAAAAATACACCACTCTTGAGAATAGACATGTAAACAGAATATTATCAGGTTCCATACTCCTAGACATAGCTAATTATATTGGGTGTTTAAATATTAATGAATTGTTGTGCACTAACAAGTATTTTAAAGACTAAATGACTACAAAGTTGCCTTATTGACAAAACTGCCTGGGTTTTCAAATGAGGATTCTAGTGTTAGTGAAGAGTAACTATCATATTGCAAAGTGATACAACTGGAACAGAAATCCTGAATGCTATCAGGATTTTTTCAGTAAACGTATGAAAATCCTCACTTAACTAAATGTAATACTTTAAAATTAGACTAGAAGGGCTTCTGCCACTTATTATCTATGTCATTTTGGACAGGTTACTTAATCTTCCTGAAACTTATCTGTAAAATAGAGTAATATTTCACAAGGATGTGTTTGTGGGTTGAATGGGTAGTATGTGTAACATAGTTCTCTTGCATAGTGTTCAATATCCCCTCTTTCTTCCTTTTTACTTAGATAGACTGTGTTGTAAATAGTAAAGTCATGATTATTTGGTTTAATGACAGACTCTAGAAGTTGTTCTAATTCCTGCTTCCTAGGCACAGCAGTCCATGTTCTGATTTTATTATTCTTGTCAGGAAAGGCAAGAAGAGACAGAGATGGGTCTCTTTGTTATGTACAGATAATGGTTTACAGAATATGTACAGATAAGGTACAGATAATGGTTAAGAAAAAGGTTTGCAAACCCTGGCTCTTGCGCTTAAATCTATATGATTTTGGTCCAGTAAACTTTCCTCAGCCTCAGTTATCTCATCTATGGAATGGGTATGATAATAATACATTATACTATAGGATACTGAGAGATAATACATATAAAGTATTTAGCACAGTGCCTCATAGTAGCAAAGACTGTAAATGGTAGTTATTTATTTATTCAACAAAATACATTTTAAGTGTGTGTAAGATCGTCAGACTAGTACTTTCATCTCCTGGTATAGCCATTCCTGCTGGAACTTTGAGTTTATCTCCAAACTTGAAATTCCTGAGTTCTAGAGTTTTTTGGGTCCCATTGAACCTATCACCATATTTTTGCCCTCTCCAGATTACAGAGAATACATATAGATGGTTATTATATGCCCTTTAAATTCTGGCCAGGGTCTCAAAGCAGAGAGGTATTCCATAGGACCTTGAATCATACTGTTTTGTTTTGTTTTGTCTATTTATTTTGAGAGAGAGCGAGCAAGCAAGCAGGGGAGAGGCAGAGAAAGGGAGAGAGAGAATTCCAAGCAGTCTCCACACTGTCCGTGCAGAGCCCTGTTTGGGGCTCGAACTCAGAAACAGTGAGATCATGACCTAAACTGAAATCAAGAATGGAACGCTATTTTTTTTTTAATTTTTTAAATGTTTATTTATTTTTGAGAAAGAGAGAGAGTGCAAGCAGGGGAGGGGCAGAGAGAGGGAGACACAGAATCTGAAGCAGACTCCAGGCTCTGAGCTGTCAGCATGGAGCCTGACATGGGGCTCGAAATCATGAACTGTGAGGTCATGACCTGAGCTGAAGTCACACACTTAACCAACTGAGTCACCTAGGTGCCCCAAGAGTGGAACATTTAACCGACCATGCCACCCAGATGTCCCCATATTGGTTTTTAAATGTGTAGCATTCTGTATGTTGTAATGAGGAAAAAGGGAAGTGCATCTTCAAATGACTTGGGGAGAATTGCCTGTTTTGTAAGGGAGAACAAGGGAAGAAGCCTCCTAAACCTGACCATATCAGATTAGCCACTTTGTATTCTTAACGACTGAAGTTAGGGTAAGAACACTGGGTCATCTAGACCCTTTCCTCCAGCAAAATATATTTGACCTAAAATCAGAGGTGTGATACATGTAAACCAAGCATGTCTTTCTGAATGGTTGAAAGCAGGCCTTTATGGTGTGAAAGAATTCTATGTCCTACTTTGTCCCACTTGTATTGAAACCTTTCTTCTTTGAAAAGGAAAATACCCTTCATGAAAAAAATGAGAGCATGTGGAAATTCTGAACTAAATGAATACGGTTTTCAGAGAAGTACACAAATAAAGCATGACTCTGGTTTTCACTTTTTTGAAAGGATTAAGTTATCATAGATTAATTACTAATGGGTTAAATTATCATAGATTAATTACTTTAGAATCTTAGAACTGGAAAGTGACTTTTCAAATTATCTACATCAGCCAACTTTCTTTTCTTGTTTATTTTGAGAGAGAGAGAGAGAGAGAGAGAGAGAGAGTGCGCGTGCGTGAGCTAGCAGGAGAGGAGCAGAGAGGGAGGGGAGAGAATCCCATAGGTTTCCCACTCCACACTGGGCTTGACACAAACCCAGACATCATTACCTGAGCCGAAATCAGGAGTCTGATGCTTAACCAACTGAGCCACCCAGTCACCCCAACCACTTTATTTTCAGGTGAGAGGACTGTGGACCAAAATAGGTGACTTGGCCATGCTGAATTTCACATGGATCGAATGAATGGAAAGAATGGGCCAAGAGCTAGATAACCTAATTCGGGAGCCATTGTTCTTCCTATTATGCCATATCCCACAACTATTTTTCATGGTGCTCAGTAGTTGGAAAATCACTTTATTAGTTATTCTAGTGGGTTTACATGTGTTTTTGGGGTGTGTGTGTGTGTGTGTGTGTGTGTGTGTGTTTATTTAAAAAGCACTCATTTAATAATGGGCTTTGCTGTGGAGAGAAGTTGGGTGTTTTTCAGGATTGATCAGTATTGAAAATGTGGAGAGGTTTGCCCTCTAGTGCTCAACCAACAAAAGTGCAACTGTCCAGTGAATTTTTATTACCAAGGGGCCTCTTCTTACAGGAAGTGGATATAAAAATGGAAAGGCAATGTGTAGGTGTGATACAGTGTGAGAAACTGCAGGGTGTGGTTTCTTTGTCTGCCCTGCTTTATGAGAGGCCTCAACTCACCCTGCTTGTTCTTTCTTTTTTATTTGTGTGTATTTAGGTCCTATTAACAAACTCTTCCAGTCTAATGCCTTTATGTTTTCAATTATATATAAAATTTGGTGGCAAACCCCAGGCAAGCTGTGTAGACAAAAGCTTCTGTTGGTCTTGCCGTTTTACTTCATTCTTTTTAAGATTATTTCAATTGATGTGCATCCACTCAATTTTATGTTATTTATCTCTTGTCAGGGTGCCTCTTTTTCGCATTAGTGACCACCTTGCCAAAAACCGTTTTCAAACTGCAACTTACCAAGTTGCCTTTTCTTTCCTGATCCGCCCTGTAGAGTTCTATTCACTCTTTGTTGTGCACATTTTCCCATAAGTGAAGGCAGCCATTAAACACGTTGTACTTCTGCATTTTGCGCTGAGTAGCTCTCCTCCCTGCTTCCCTCATAGGTTTTACTTTCTGCACAAAGAAAGCACAATCAAGTTTAGAGTAGCCCCTTAGTCTTGTCTTTTTAACTTCTCTTGATAAAGCCCTCAACCTGATTCTGAGAAATAAACACATAAGATATCTGGGATGAGCCATACTTGGCAAATTAGGAATAGAGGCATGTACTACTTACATTCAGTCTGACAACCCAAGAATATATAAGGACGTTTTTTGAGATGAAGTTACAATATTTTTTATTATCTGTTCTTTAGTTTTTTACTATCTTAGTCTTCCCAAATGAAAGAAACTAAAACCTAGCAATTTGTTTTGCCTGATAAGCTCCCAGAATGCGGGGATCCTGTTTTATTTTTCCATATAGGGCACCTTAGTGATAAATTACAGGGGAGGGGCGTGCACACACACACACACAGAAATACACACACAGAATCTGAAGCAGGCTCCAGGCTGTGAGCTGTCAGCACAGAGTTTGATGCGAGGCTCAAACCCACAAACTGTGAAATCATGACCTGCGCCAAAGTCGGATGCCTAACTCACTGACCCAACCAGGTGCCCCAAATTTTAAATGTTTCTTAAGGTAGCTATGGAACATGGTACAAATGGCATGGAGCTGAGAGATGATACATTGATGTTTGTTTATGTCAAACTATATTTTAAGTGTTAATTTTTATGATGAATTAAAAGCACTAGACATGTATGCTAGGCATTCCACAGCTTGTGTCTTTGCAGACCTGGCCATTAGGATGGACCATTTAAAAGTTTTAGCTGCTTTATCTTCTCACTTTCCATCATGGTAACCCAAAGGGTAACCGTAGCCCATATACCGGAAATAACATTTCATTTAAATTATCTCACTTTCAGGAAGGTGACAGCAGTGACCGAGGGGTGGCTACTCACCATTTAGTGATTTAGATTTGGTTTTAGTTTAGGATTTGCTCTTTTCACTTGATATTTACTTGCCAGTGACAGCTCTAGGCAAAGGAAGCACACAGTATTTTTTGGTTTTGATCTGAAATACTATCCCTGGTTTAGATATACAAAGAATTAGTAAGCAGCACCTTTCCAGAGCAGAAGGGTTTCTGAAGGGATTACTTGGTTTTGAACCCCTTTCTGCTTTAATAACTGCAAACATAATGTGCGATCTGTCTTCCCTTTTAGAGCAAAGCCGGCGGGATGATTTGGAAGCCCTGGGCCATATGTTCATGTATTTCCTTCGAGGCAGCCTACCCTGGCAAGGACTCAAGGTATCCTTGAAAGTGCTCAGTGGAGGGCTTTGTTTCAATACTCAGTTGTTAATGAAGGGGTTGCTGACTTGACGTCTGCAAGAAGCACAATTGGGAAGATTGGCTGGCTGCATAGATGAAAAGCAGGGGCTGGTTATATTGTCTATACTGTAGATGCTTCCCTGGGCTTTGGGAGCTCTGTTTTGCTCACATTTGTCTTCTTCCCCTTGTGAATCCTTCTTCCTTGTTTTAGGGTTTTCCACAGTCTCTTCCCTTGTTCCCTCCCAGCCTTGGCACTGCTGCTTTTCTCTGTGTCACTTTCCTCCTCCACTACCATTATGTAGCAAGAAGAGTGTTCCCAGTGTACTGGGGAATTTCTGGAACAAATTGATGACAGCAGCTGCTACACATTTTACCAGCAAGGCCAACAGAGCTGGGTGTGCCCCTAAGGAGAACTGGAAAATATTTATTCATCCTATCAAGGCTAAGGATCCACCTGAACTAAAATAAAAATCCAGGTTTAACATTGCTGTTCATGTGTCTTATTCAGTAAATGCCTATGCAGACAATAGCCATTCCTCGTGAAACATGTAGTTTAAATAGCCTACCTTAGGTATCAGTACAGTGTATTTGTGTCAGAGTTAACTACTGATAATAATTTTAACCACTGTAATTATTCTGTGCCTCTGGCTGGTTAGACTAGGAAATGGTGAGCTTCTAACCCATTTTAAGTCCCATTTTAGATAGTTAAATGTGAGGTATATTTTTGAGTTGTGATTTATTTCAACATGTTAGTATGGAAAGAAACTTAATCAATAGATTTAGGTACTTACACACCCCTTGGCCCCCTCCCTTTCTCCCTCCAGAAGGGCAGAATGATTCATTTGCTGTGCTTTCTAGACCGTTGTCCTGAAAAGTAAAGCTTCTGCCCCTTCCCTTTGGGAAGATTTTATTTCTTTCCCCTTAAATTCTTCTCCTAACACTTCCTAGTCTTCTCCTAGTCACATGTATCTTTTCATTGGTATAGATAGCTGTCAGATAGAGTTTCATATTCTATTTACTCATTACATAGCCAAGCAATACATTTGTGTATTAATTGAAACTCACTCACAGTCTATGAATCATTTTAGTGTCAGTTGTAGATCTAAAATTTCTCCAACTTTATTTTATTTTATTTTACTTTATTTTATTTTATTTTATTTTATTTTTATGTTTTTATTTTAGAGGGAATGCAGGCATGCAAGCATGGGAGAGAGGCAGAGGGAGAGAGAGAGAGAGAGAGAGAGAGAGAGAACCAAGGCTCAATCTCACGACCTTGGAATCATGACCTGAGCTGAAATCAAGAGTCAGACTCTCAACCGACTGAGCCACCCAGGCAGCCCTCTCCAACTTACTATAGAACACTATTGCTTAAAACTGGGTGCAGCCAGCTAGGGAGAGCCTCACAAGAATCCCTTGAGGCTACACTGTTGGTCCAAGCTCCAGGAGCCTTCTGTCTATAATCCTGAACAAACTTAGTTTGCTTTGAGCTGCTGACATATATGAAACCTACCTGTTAGCCTGTTAGCCATGCCTCTATCATAGGTAACACTTTTCCCTCTGGAAGCACATTGTGGAAAGGCATTTTCTTCTACTACTTATTCTTTTTTTTTTTTTTTTTTTTCCTGTTCAGATTCACAGTAAATATTCTGTGGAGCCATCTGTCTGCCCCACACTTAGATTACCAATATTTTTAATCTTATAATAGAACTGATCTAAGAAGGAGAAGGCTGAATTTTTGAACCCCAGTGGTCATGGGAGATTACTAAGCTTCTGCAGTTTTGAAAGTAACTGCTATATGATATTTTTATTTCCTTTTCCTAACCACTCATCTCATTACATTTGATGGTGTTTATCTGAGACTACTAAATATATTTGCAAATAAAACCTTCCAGAACAGAGCAGACGTTAAATACATCATCTCTGTTACATTTCTTATGTATTAGAAGATTGAGCCTAGCAATTCCTGCCAGTTTGAGTGAAGCAACCATTGCATCCCCAGACATATTGGACCTCCCATACGTGGCACCTGTTTCCAAATAACTTTCTCCCTTTGCTCTACAGGCTGATACGTTAAAAGAGAGATATCAGAAAATTGGTGACACCAAAAGGAATACTCCCATTGAAGCTCTCTGTGAAAACTTTCCAGGTAGGATGCTAGAAGGACATTCCAGCCATCGTGACTAAAACTTTGAAGTAGGTAAAGACAATGACTTGGTGTCTCTAGATAAGGGCGCTCTCTAGAAAATTCACATTTCCTTTTATTGTCATTTAGACCAAGACAGGTTTTATCACTTTCATTTGGGTCATAAGGAAAACACAAATATTCCTGACTTGGCTCAGAGCTTCTCACCATAGGAAGCATTCAGCTCATGAGCATGGCCTTTCACCTCTTTCCTACAGAAGAGATGGCAACGTACCTGCGCTATGTCAGGCGATTAGACTTCTTTGAAAAACCTGACTATGAGTATTTACGGACCCTCTTCACAGACCTCTTTGAAAGGAAAGGCTACACCTTTGACTATGCCTACGATTGGGTCGGGAGACCTATTGTAAGTATCCTGTTTTACCTCATCACTTCAGACCAGCACTACCTCGCTTGCCAGACTTTCTGCTTAAATCTATGGAAAAAACATTCCTTTGACTGTGGACTTTACGTATGCCAGCCTTTTCAGGGTGATACCATAGGTTACAATTACCAGAGTTAGAAAGCAGGAGCAACTCCTTTATACGTTTTTAAGATTATGACCAGTATGGCCTAAGATACCAGAACTTAAGCCAGTTTTTAAGAAGAACTTTTGCTTGAATGATCCAGAAGCTGGTGCTACGTAAGCTGGTCCTGCTTCTGTAGAAGTGGAACCCATCACCATAAGAAATTTTTTTTTATTATTCATTTTATTAAAAAAATTTTTGTTAAATTTTATTTATTTTTGAGCATGAGCGAGGGATGGGGAGAGAGAGAGGGAGACACAGAATCTGAAACAGGCTCCATGCTCTGAGCTGTCAGCACAGAACCTGACATGGGACTCGAGCTCATGAACCGCCAGATCATGACCTGAGCCGAAGTTGGATGCTTAACTGACTGAGCCACCCAGGCGCGCCTGTTTATTTTTTTTTTAATTTATTTGTGTGAGAGAGAGATGGAGTATGAGCAGGGGAAGGGCTGAGAGAGAAGGAGAGAAAATCCAAAGCAGGCCCTGCACTGTCTGTGTGGAACCCAACTCGGGGCTTAAACTCACAAACCATGAGATCATAACCTGCGTCAAAACCAAGAATTGGATGTCTAATGGATTGACCCACCCAGGCACCCATCATGAAAAACTTTTGAATTAGTTCTTCTGGCCAGGAGTTCACAGTACCTGAGAGCAAGCTAACACATCACTGTAGGATATTTTCTTATTTTCCAAGGTAAGCTGCTCTCTAATGAGCTATTGAGGACCAGGTGGCCTCCCTTTTGCAGATAAGCAAAGTGAGAAGACTTGAAACTGCCCATGATGACTGAAAACAACAATTAACCACTGTTTTATTAGAATTGGAATGATGCTCTCCTTTGCAGAGTCATTAAGTCGGGCCCATCTTCCATTTGACTTTTTGTTATATTTTTCCAGCCTACTCCAGTAGGGTCAGTTCATGTAGATTCTGGTGCATCTGCAATAACTCGAGAAAGCCACACACACAGGGATCGGCCGTCACAGCAACAGCCTCTGCGAAATCAGGTATGTGCTGGACCTTCCTTGTTTCAGACATTCTCCTTCTTACTAAAACCAAAATTTTTCGGCTTCTCTGCTTAAGTGTATATACTGAAATTGAATACAAAGGACTTGCCTTTTCTCAGGCATGTGGGGTGGCATTCCAGCATCCCTGGGTGCTATAACGGTACTGAGGTATGGTCAGGCACCTGATACGAAGTATCCAGTCAAGAGAATTAGGACTTGTCCAAGTCTGTTGGCTGAAAGGGGCCGTCTGCCACAGGCCTGAAAGACCTGCTGAACCACACAGGATCAACAGGGTAGCCCATTTGGGGTCTCATCTGTAGTCCAGTGTGGGGTACTCTCACTGGTGCTGGGGTGTCTTTTGGTCGTCTTTATTTATTTGTTTAAAAAAAATTTTTTTAATGTTTATTTATTTTTGAGAGAGACAGAGACAGAATGCGAGTGGGTTAGGGGCAGAGAGAGAGGGAGACACAGAATCAGAAACAGGCTCCAGGCTCTGAGCTGTCAGCACAGAGCCCGACGTGGGGCTCGAACTCACGAGCCGTGAGATCATGACCTGAGCCGAAGTTGGACACTCAACCAACTGAGCCACCCAGGCGCCCGATCGTCTTTATTTAGTTTTGTTTTTGTTTTTGTTTTCTGATTAAGAAGAGTGGGTAATTTGGACTTCTAGCTGACCTGGGCATAAACTGGCACCTCTGTTCCACCTCTGCTCCTGTCCCCATGTGAATTCTAGAGCTGGCCAAGTAAAGTGAAGATTCACCTTTGCTTTAGGCCACTGCAGAGGAGACCATGCCATCCATTCTTCAGTGTTCATGGTTTGAGAAACTAATGGTCTATGTGAGAGGCTTCTCTCAGCCTAAAGACAGAGGAGGCAAACACACAAAAATCAGCAAATTTGACAATATTTGAAGAAAGACGTCACTGATTGGGAAGGAAATATGACAACTTTCATCTTTATATCATATACAATTGACCCTTGAACAGCACAGGTTTGAACTGTGTGGGTCTACTTATATACAAATTTTTAAATAAATATAGTATAGTATTGTAAATGTAAATATAGTATTGTAAATTTTCTCTTATGATTTTTTAATAACATTTTCTTTTCTCAATCCTTATTTTAAGAAAACAATATAATGAGTATAACATACAAAGTATGTGTTTATCAAATGTTTATGTTGTTGGGAAGACTTCTGGTCAACAGTCAGCTATTAGTAGTTAAGTTTTGGGGGAGTCAGAAGTTATATGGGGATTTTCAACTTCACAGTGGTTAGTGCCCCTAACCCCCACGTTTTGTTGTTCAAGGACCAGCTGTACGTTGCTAAGAGAAAACTGAAGACCCCAGTAGATAAATAAGCAAAGGATAATAAACAGATACACAACATGTTCAGTCATTATCAACTCTCAAATTAGCTCGTAACCCTGACCTCACGTTTTAATATTCACAGACATATTTATAATAAAATGCAAAAATGCTTATTTCAGATGCACATATGAGAAAGTACATAGGTTAACAATAGCGTATAGAAGTACATACACACAGGGAACATCTGACTGGCTTAGTCAGAAAAGCATGTGATTCTTGGTTTCACGGTCGTGAGTTTGAGCCTCACGTTGGGTGTAAAGATTACGTAAATAAATAAAACTTAAAAATTTTTTTCTAAAAAGAAAACATATACATGTACAGTGAAGTACATGCACAAATATGGATAGACTCACCGATAAGCACATATTCTTGGCAAAATGTATGTCTTGGTAAAAAAAAGTATAAAGGAGGGAAATCTATGTATTTAGTAGCTAAGAGAGAGTAGACAGGCAAAAAGGTGGGGTTTAGCAAATCACATACACTAATTGGATCCATCGTTACATGCTTTAATCAAAGTAGTTGGCTAGGAATTACAATTTGACTGGCTTCTGATTGACACAGAATACTGTTGATTCTGTGGTTGTTCTCTTCTACCTCTCTTGTTAAAAGTGTAGCTGAGTGCACACTTAAACTGACACTCTGAGACGTGGCTCTGGACTTTAAAAATCCAGAATCAATTATTGGAATCCATTTTAAGAAAACAACCCACGATATAGATTAAGTTATGTGCATAAAATTGTCACAGTGTCACTTGAAACAAACGTTTTAGAAATGATCCACTTATTATAAGGGAATGGTTATGGATCCAGCTGAAATCTTTTAGCAAAAAAACTGGGTTATAATAAGGTAAATTGTAGTGGGCTTATTCAGTAGAATATTATGTAGCCACTTAAAATAATATTTAGGAAAACTTGTAGCAACCTGAAAATGTTTATGGTTTGTAGGGTGAAGAAATCAGAGTACAAAATTAGAATGACAGCATGATTTCCCCTCAGGGAAAGGGAAAATGAAAAAAATCAGTGGAAGGAGATAATGCCAACATATTAGAAGAAACAGATAATGTTGTAGGTAATATTTTTCCAGACTATTCTATGAAGAAGTTACATTATCCTATAATGAAAAATGCACTTAAATAGAAAAGGTATGGAAAGAAAAAAAATCAGTAGTCAGTAGTGAAGTCCACATAATCAGCATATCTGCCCGAGTACTCATGTTTTCAGAATATTTCAAATTAAAATAGGTATTTCCTATAGTTTTCCATGTCTTTTCTGCTTCAGTGAATTCTTAATCAATGCTGCTGTTTTGATTGGATTTTTAAAGTATGGGGGCGCCTGGGTGGCGCAGTCGGTTAAGCGTCC